AAACGGTAGACCGTTTCGAGTGCCAGCCCGGAAATCCCGCTGATTCGGCTGTATGGACCGAACCCAACTGCCTGGTCAGGAATCAGGTCGTCCGGGACGGACACGACCTCAATTGCGTTGACAAAGGCGAGAGAATTGTTTCCTGGGATGAAATTGACAGACAGACTGTTGGAGGTTACATTGACCGCGTACTCCTTGAAAAAGTAGGTGCCATTGTAGGTGGCAAAGCTGAAATTGTGCAGGAGCACAAAATCCTCGGTCACCACAGTGATTGAGGCGGAGGTTAGGTTACGGCCCGGGATCGGGTAAAAGTAGAGGCGGACCCAATGCCGGCCTTGTCGCCTGATGTTGAACTTGTAGGAAGCTGTGGATGTGAAAATTCTTGCCGATTGATAGATAGGGAAAGGGGCAGTCGAATTCGAGGTCGCGGCCATAGAATTTCCACGACTCCTCAAGGAAAATGAGGATTGAGCAGAATCAGGGACGTATGTCTGGCCAGTGAATGTCACATTTTGTTGAGATCCACAGGCAATCAAGTGGTTATCCGTAGGGGTGAATTGGGCAAGCGATGAACTACTACTGCTGAGAAATTCAAGAAATACTAGACCCACAATTGTAGGTGCCCAATTCAACAAATTCATAGCTTTTTTCAGCTAAAACCACCACTGAGAAACAAAAGATACAAAACAATGACAGTTGAATCCAAGAGACCTCGGCTGCCCTAATTCTGGACCGCCATAATTTTACGCCAACAAAGAACAGTATCGAACAAATTTCACAGATCTATTTCAAGGCAATGTTAACTCGAAACAAATTGCAGGGCGGCGCATACGAATCAAAGAATTATATCTACAATCGTATCTAAAAGCTAAACAAAATGGAAGGAAACCAGGTCGTGATGAACTATGAAGTTCACGAAAGAGAGACAAAGATCGAAGCTTTTGTTCTTATGAGCTGATTCATTTTACCTCACATCACTCGACGGAGATTGAAGGCTTGCAACAGAACATGGAGTGAGATGAGCATTTCAACCACCAAGAACACCCACCAAGCTTTTCAAGTGACATAAAGCTTTTTTTCTTTCTTGAGCAAAATTGCACCAGCTCTTTACAGGCTGTTGATTAGGTTGTCGTTTTACAGAGGCAAAATAGTGTGTGTGTGTGTGTGTGTGTGTGTGTTGTTTACATTTGTTTATTTATTTATTTATTATTATTATTATTATTATTTTTATTGGAGATATATAGTTATGGACCTACAACACGAATTTTCAAAAACTCATTGGCTTTCGAAATGAGATTTGAAAACAGCTGTTGTATGTTTGTCAAGAGATTATGTTGGCGTGATTTGGGTAACAAGAGAACGCGCGGAAAAAAAATAATATAATAATACTATACGTTTCCATGGGGTTGGTATTCGCTATCCTCTATTGCTACGTTTCGTCCCAATTACTATTTTACCTTTTTCATTTGTAATCCCCTATTGCTACGCTTGGTCCCAATTACTATTTTACCTTTTTTATTTGTAATCTCAATCTCCCTCTATCTCTCTCACTTTCCCTCTCGTTAAACGGTCGTTTGACCTTCAAAAAATTTCGAAAAAATGTCACGACAATGCGGAGGCATCGACAAAAGATTGTTTACCGGCAAGGTATGTTTTTTTTTTTCGTTGTTAAAAACATTTTAGAATTTTTATTTTTTGGGCAAGGGGATTTTTCATTCCTCGATTCCTAAATGAGAGTACCGAAAGGTCAGATCTTTCAAGAAAGCAGTTTTGTACACCACTTCCACGTCCCCGAATCCGGATGGTACTTAGGATGATGTATCGTCAATTACATCGAGCCTTCCGCCATCTAGAATCACCAACCTTTCTGGGAGATTGTCCGGCCGCTAACTTATAACATATAAAAATTAAATAA